ATTCTAATGATTCGCGAATGTCTTCGAATGATGTTTAACTAAAAGTAGTCCTAAAATGGTCGTCTTTGGACTCGTTTTTATTCGGAGAACGAGCTCGATCCATCAGCGAGACTTTCATGAAAATGTAATGAAAAATACAAAAATGATCGATACAGCATACTTATTCCGATGCCAAGTTAACTGATACTTGATCGCTGTACTTTCAGTTCCCAATGTCCAAGCTATCCAAACACCTTTTACCGATGTAAAGCTAAGATAACGAATCAAGGTAGCATTAATGAAAAAGAATTAAAAATAAAAGAAATATCGAAATTGTTACAAAATGTTCCAATGATTACCTCGAAACAATTCACAACTCTCGAGTACAGTTACATTTCGAGGTCTGTCAATAACACTCGACCTTTGAATTCAATCGATGCTGCAACAAATCTCGTCTACCACCAACGCTGGTTAGAACTATCCAGGCTCCTGTTAGACATATCGAACAGAACGCTTGAGAATTGACACGTCATTGGATTGGTTCCATCGTCAGTTCACAGGCAAAGTGTGAAAAAAGCAACAAGGACATTTCTGCTGGGAGAGGTGTGAACCTTTCGAGCGTAATGGATAGTCAAGATGGCGGATATGGCCACTCGACGCAATGTTTACAGTGCAGTCGCTCATCCGTTTACCTTTGGTCGAGCGCGTTAGCAGCTTGAACCCATTTCCGCTATCACCTCTCATATGATAGAGATTGACAGCCACTTGACGACCATACGTAGCCTGTCTTTCAACGAATCGCCTTTATCACCCTTCTTCGATATTTCCGAATACCGTTCTTCCTTTAACTCTATGGGGCACGGTGGGATCAAAAGTGTCCCACCTTTTTGATGTATCGTAATGCATGGTGAGACATTTTTAATCCCACCTCGAAATTTTGAATAGCTGCATGTGTATAGGCGCATGTGTATAGCTGTATGTGTAGGCCTTTATTAATAAAAATATAACAATCTTGTTTGATTTAAAACGCAATAAAATTCCTGTGCAACATGGGTCTACTTTATGACCTGAATTCCTGTGCCGCAGAGTTAATCCCTTAAGGACTTTAAGTTAAAGTATGACACGTATACAGTACGTACATGCGTGTACACTTATTTTCCAAGCTACATTCCATAACGTACAAGTAAACCACTACAATTGAGATTCGATATTCACGGTTAATTCCCCAAAGATGCAATACAGGAAAATCGTTAGAAAATTCGTGATCATTATAGGCGACCATCAGTTCGAATTTTTTACTTTTAAATAAACGCATCAATTGGCGTGATATTGTCCGAGTGAGACATTAGTAAAGGAATTCAAAGTTTCAGTTGTTCCCAGTGCTTCGAGGTACCCATGTGCCTAGTAATCGTCACAAGGAGTGAAAATGAGAGACAAGAGTCGGGAGGGTCCGTCGACCCTGACAACGTCATGGACGTCGTAAGGTTTAAGAAAAAGCGATCCCGGGCGACCAAGCTAGACAAAGGTAGCAATCGAGCTCCCTTTGACCAAAGAAAGTAGCGGACTTCGTCCCTCGAGTGCAACCATCCTAAAACGCTTGAATCGGCCATATCTGACCACGATTGTCCTCCACTGTTCCTCCTTTTACCATCAAACGAATCCGAACCGCGTTTCACGCGTCTGGGAATCGTACGAAAGGGGCTGAATCTTCAAGATTTGTCCCAGGGATGTTTTCGCGCTAAGACGATCGGTATAGACCTCTACCAAGTCTGCCTATTACATGGCAATAAGTTTCCATGAGACTTGAGATTAGTATCCATGTAGACATGTCGCTTAGGGGCTGTATTTCGGACAGTAAAGTGAAACAGTCCTACTTCAATCTTCGATCATCTTCGCTCTATAGGATGCTATGCAAGTATCGAAGGAAATTTCGCCATTTTTTGGCAAAGATAGCGTGCATAAATTATTTTTAGATCATCTTGAAAACAAGATATGACGTCGGTGCGCGGCGTGCTGCAAAGTTGTCGTGGACGTTGCTGGTAACACTGGACCGCGCCACTGACGGGACTTCGATAGTTAATGAAATTATAAGAACGTCCGTATACGCTAATATAGTTGCTTGGAATACATCAACCACGACCTGGACGGTATTTACGCTGTCGTGCTTTGACCAGGACATTTTCCCATTTAGAAAATCAATGTACGCTCATGACCGAGAGTAACAAACACTTTAACTTCAGAAAATTCTTGCGTATTGTTTTGTGTTTGAATTTGTATTTTATAAGCGATGTATTGTATACAATCTGTTGCTTTAAATTAAGGGGGGAGTCTGGTCCAGCTAATGTATTTTTCTAATGCATATAATTTCCAGATATAATTAATTTTTGTTATTGAAATTTTTTTTTATATATAAAGGTACGTTCAAAGAAGAAATCTGTTTTACATTGACTATTGTGTCTATCCTTGCACATGTATGTTTGTTTTACATATCAAGTTTGTACTGTATTACATCAATTTGTCTTCCATTAGATTCCTTTACATGCTGTTGGGGCCCACTGGTCTATACCTCGGGTACCTCGGGATTGCTAAGCCCGTAGCTGTAGCTACAATTGAACGTAGCTACAGAGCTAGCTACGAGGTAGCTGAGGTGATTAATAATTGTAATTATAATTGAATAATATAATAATTGGAACGAGCAGTTTTCTTGGTCGAGCAAATTATATAGCCCGCCCTGCCATTGGCGAGCATGCGACTGTGCGTCAGCGCATGCGCAACAATCAGCAAGGTGCGTTTTTATTCTTGCTAATCGAGCATTCCCCGTTCGGAGTCGCTACGATTGGCAAATCTACAGTATGAAGTACTCAATAATTAATTCTCCAAAATAATAGAACGATACAATGTTAATTTTTCAATACAATGTTATGTTTTTTACGTCGATCTCAGAACTTGTAAGAAAGCCGTTACACAGCATCAAACAACTGAATACGAACAAACAGGAAAATATGTTTTATAAAACACATTGCCTTGTACTATATTCTAGGTACACTGATACCTTTCATTCCTTTCGTGCATTCGTAGATAAATTAAACCGTGGTTATGTATATTTATCGCGTCCGTCTTGAACCAAATAAACATACGACGAGCATCTGAACTGGGAATTGATGCAGACTGTTGAGTGATTTTCTTGAATTCTCTGCTTTGATTCACCTACTCGAAACGATTAGACGAATCAAAGCAGAGATTCCAAGAGAATCATTCCACAGCTATCTTTGCTGACTACACCCATTGATTTTCTAGTAACGTTCACTGAGACCGCAAGATGGCGGAGCATAACGCGTCAGCAGCCATTCTTTGACACCGTGCAGAGAACCATCTATGCCACCGTGTCGCCTCTGCCTGAAAATGAAAGCAGAATTCAGACTCGTTTTGTTTCTATGCAATCTCTTCGCGTGGAGTGTCGCGCAAATCGACTTTTCCGACGACAACGTCGAAGGTGACGATATGAAAGTTTAACCGTGGTTCCTTTTTTCATCGCATCAAGTCGTCGTTGTTCGGCGATTTTTGACGCGGTCAGCTGTCTGTTTTCCTAACCAATAACCGACGTGTTTGCATCCTTCCATACCTTCTGCGTTGTTTCAACGACAAAGGTGGTATAATTTGTGCTCGAAACGTTACAGAGGATCTGAGGTACGTGGGTTTCGACCAGGTGCAGTCGCTCAGGCAACTCGTGTACGGTAACGGAAAGAATCGTCGAGATACGGACGATGACTTCGACAACTGGAAAGGCCGGTGGATGCCTGACAAACCAGGTGATCCAACTCCGCCGCCCAAGGTATTTCCAAAAATGGAGGAAGATCTCATACGTGGACTCTTGGAACCTATTTACGGAGTGCCCATGGGACACCCGTCGCCAAATTGCGATGATGCTAAGGTTAGCAATTCGAAGATATTAAAGGTTCATTCCCAAGTAACAAGAGTCACAACTTTTAACGTTGTTGCATTGATAATGACTGTGATAACTAGACTGCGGATCTTTATGCATTTATAGGAAATTTGAATGTGCAAGAACCTACAAAATGCAAACAATTTACGAGAATATAAAAAAGATCGTGAAGTAAGGTTCATGTTGTAATATGTTCAGAATAAAATAAATTCCTATTTAGGTTCAATTTTTGTAGGTACGTTCGCGAAGATTTTATTTTGCATAAAGATCCGCAGTCTAATGATAATAAACCAGTTTGGAAACAGACAGCTACGTGTCATAACATTCGTCACTAAACAATATGGCGTCAACCGATATGATTTTGAGGGTTCTCATCGTTATGGAAGAAAATATTTTTTTTAAGAACTGCAAGGATATTTATTTTATCCAATGACAGATCGAAAATATTCTTATAAAATCAATTTTTGTTTCCCCCTCTTCAAATCAGAATACTCTCTCAATGTGTCTTACGATGCTTGTTTTCAGACTAACTTAACGATCGATTGGGATGGCTCTCCAACCAATTATACATGTTACGGGAAAAAGCTAATGCCAAACATAGAAACGATACCCCTGAAGTACTGCGAGCAGATTCCAAAGAGTTACGTCGTAAGTATCGCGCTCGACATTGGTGCTACCTGTTGTCAGCTATTTTAATTATTTTAAAATATAATACAGGCTACGCATAAGTGCATGCAGGAAAGGATAGAGTACGACGATGACATTCCCCTGTTGTAAGTACGTTGTATCAATAACTAGTAATCGGGTATAAATTTTTAATATCGAGTATCTTCAGTGGACCGCATAGACCTTTATGGCCTGTCTACGGAGAATACAAATTTCTGCCCAAGCAGAGGTGGATTCATAGCCTCGAGGTATAATTGCTATAAAAATTATTAGTTCTGTTACTCTTGATTCGATATACCTTTACTCCCATCTGAATGTAGCATGGTGCGATCGTCGCATTGTATCATCCGTGCGCCAATCCGTTGGAGGTGAAGCACTTGACGAGCCTAGTCACTAGCTGTCTACGACGGCACGTCATCAGTCCCTATGATATGTTGAGCGAGGACCGCGTAAGTGTCATAACATACAGTCTGAATCATCTAACCTCATCATCTTATATTACCCAGAGCGGGACAATTACTTTGTCCGCCTTCGTTACCTCCATTATTCATAATCCTGTAAAAAATAAATCGAGGGGGTACTTATAACGGTAGAATATAATTTTTTCCTTGGTGTCTCCTTCTTTTATAATGGGACAAATGGAAACATTTTCTTTTGAGACAGATCATGCATGATTCATTAAATGTTCGATATTGACATTTCAGCCATTGGCACTGGTCTCTTGGGGATGCCGACTGACAATGTCATACGTCAATCATAAGGTGGTAACCGCGTTCATTCGCGAGCACGCTCTTCGTGGACCAGAGGCGATAGCCAGGGATGGCGACTTCGACGAAGCTCTTCTCCGCCCGGCCAAGCTTGTGTCTGACTTTGAAGATTCGACCCTCTGTCCTGCTAATTCCGCGTAACGTTCGTACTCTAAAACACAACGGCTTGGAACCATGAATTTACTACTACCTAGCGCTTGTATGCGCATTATTTGTATGTACATAATGTAACGCGGTCCTTTGTGCGTTCTACCTACGAGTAATTTATTTATTTGAACGCCGTGATCGTTCAATGTTGTGCTTCTCGTGATGATGTCCCTATCTTTTTTTTTTTTTTGTATTTTTTATTACACCATAAGTCAATAAGAAAAATATAAATAAAAGAATCGAAAAGCCATGATTCGCTTGTGCGAGAACCAATGCATTTTTATTTCTTTTCCGCTTGGTCCTTTGCGGTTTTCTTTTTTTTTTCTCTTAACGAGGGCGAAGGAGACGAATGAATGGGACACGCGCAAACGTTTTTACTCCCGTTACATATTGTTGTATATTGTTCGTTTTTTTTTTTTTGGTTTTTCTTTTTTTTTCGAGAGAAGATCCGTTAATACATTGAACATCGTGTCGGTTTTTAAAATTTCTTTGCGGACCATTTGTTTATCTACAGACGTATAGTAACTTCACTGTAGTGCTGACTAAAATCGTTATTCCTGCGGATACGTATCTTCGACGATATATAAAATTAGGGTAAGACAATTAACGCTACTATATTTCGGTAATGTAAAATATACTACTCGTCTACTCAATGGTAAGTCGTTGAACGTAAAAGAATATATAATTGTACAGTAAACGCTTGGCTTCATTCTTTGTTCTTTATATATCGCTCGTAGTAGGTCAAGTGGGTTTTGAAAATTATTCGCATAAACGCGAGGGAAAATCGGCGAATCGCGGGGGCCGAGAAAAGCGAGATCTCGCGAAAAAAATGTTTTCGAGAGGGCGATTCGCCGATTCGGCTCTCGTTGGTCGACCGAACGTTTCTTTATGCCGCGATCCGACTCCCTCGAATCCTATTTTCTCTCGCCACACTATTTCTTTTCTCTCTATCCCGGTTCTCTACCGAGCCGGATCCACGGTTTGTTTGTAGGACAGAGATGGGCAAAATTCTTACCTAGATACAAATTTCCAATAACGAATAAAGGATAAACGATCGTTTATCCGTCGCTCATTGATATTATATTCATTTATATTCATCGGCTATACGATGAAATATTTAACAATGAACAAACGAGAAATAAACGTCACGAATAAATCGCTATACGTTGGTTTTATTCGTTATTTATTATTCAAATTAAATTTTACCCGTCTCTGGTTCAGGAGATCTACCATTATGTATATGCAGAGCCGAATTAAGGCGCGAACTTTTTCAAGCTACAGCCGAAGGGACTCCAGTGAAATTAGTGGAAGGAAGTTTACGCCGACTTTGTGTATTACATATTCAAACTATTTTGAAAATTGATTTTCTCCATATTTTTACAAATGATTTTCTTTCGAGAAACGATTCTCGTTTACCTTGAAAAATGACGTTCATTCCCAAAAATTATTTTCACTTAAAAACGTAATAATAGACGATACATGGTTTATTCTTCAACGTTATCTAATTACTCTTTACTTTTATGGAGGCCCTCACAGTATCCGTAACCCATGGATCTGCAAGAACTTAATCCGGCGCTGTGTATGCGTGTGTATACTCACAGAGGAATAAATCTTTGTGCATGGTTACACGGTGAAAGGGCACATTCAGTTGATCACATGTTATATTTCTACTGCTGCGGTAAATCGTCACTCCTCTCTTTGGTTTCCTCCGGACGAGTCTGAAGCCTTGCCTCGCCGCGCGTTCTCTTCCCGCCTCAAGGAATTAAAGATTACGACGGTGGATCTCTTAAGATTATTGCCAACTTTGTACAGTATAATAATAATAGTAATAACAATAATAATAATGATAATAATAATAGTAACAGTAATTGTACATCGTATTAAAGACGAGAAACGAAATAATTGTCTATCATTCTTTATCTCGTTCGAGAGGGAGAGAGAGAGAAGTGAAAATCCGTGCTCGCTCGATGCACAAACACGAGACGCAAATACGATTTATAGGCAGAAAAAACACCGTTGATTTATTGAGTAAGTAACCGTTAGTTGATACAGGTCTTATTTCACTTTTTTTTTTTCCCCATTTTGTTCATTTTTATGAATCTCGCCTATGAAATATCTACGATAAAAAGTATTCGTACCTCTTTGAACGTGCTAAATTCTGTTGGTTTCTCATGTTTCTCTCGCGCTCAACTTTCGCACACCCATCCACACGGCAGCCACGCATGCGCGCGCGCACACACACACACGCGCACACACTCTGTCGTCCAGAGTTCAGGCACGCCACTAAACCTCGTATTCGCAGATTCGCACGTTGTGTGTGTGTGTGTGTTTCTCTCTCTTTCCATGTTTCTTTTTTTTTTGTTTTGTTTTCTTCTTATTCTCTCTCATATTTAATACCGTTCGCACTTTCTTCCCCTTTCTCTCCCGCTCTCTCATTCCCCTACTTTTGTTTCTCAGTAATGTAAATTTTATTAGTAATCTCACTTTGTCGCGTGGCGCTCACCAGCGGTGCGCCAGCGCAACCATCCTTAACGTTACGATTAACACCGAACTTCCCTTTGATCGCTCTTTTATTTTTTGTTCGTTTGTTTTGTCTTTTTTCTTTTTATTCGTCTTCTTTAGTCTCAAAACATCATCTCGCAAACTTACGATTTACGCTTGAAAGTGGAATTGACACTCATAAGGTTATTGAAGTAGTCTCTCGAAGTAATAATTGCACCGATGCGACACGACCAATGTACATTTTTCTTTTCACACTTTGTCCTGTCGCGTTCAAAGGTCTCTAAAGCGTTCCCTCTTGCTTCGTCACGATTCCCGGTCTCTCTCCCTCTCTCACTCTCCCATTGACCACCTCTCTCGTTTATTTCTCGTCTTCCCAATTTCTGCCTCGCCTGGATCGCATCTACATTCTCGATGGACAAGTTTAACACAAGGAGACGGGCCACATATTCTTCCAATAATAATAAGACGAAAAACGAGAACGCCTTACAGCCACTCACACAACACAAGATAGATATTTAAAATAATATACCGATGATTATGCAAACGGGACAATGGTTCAACCGAGGTGCTTCTCTCGACCTAATCTCAAGTTGAACGAATATTTAAACAACTTCGGTTCAATTATTTTATAGAAACTATATCAAACGCACGTCGATCAGAATAAACGATGGTTACGAAGCCTATAGGGTAAATTGACGTTAATGTTCTTCTCTATACCGACAACTAATTTTTATGTAACTATTTCATAATTTTATCTACCACATAGAAAACTTAATTGTTCTATATTAAGGCAAGTTTGCTATGCGGTGTTCTCGTTTGTCAACTGTTATATCAATTCAAACTTTACCCATCTCTAATGACTGGCTACAAAGCTTCCGTCATGAATCCGCGGAAGGACGCGCAAGTCGATAGGACGCAGAGATCGAGAGGGAAAGAGAGACGGATAGACAGGCGGACATCGGAATCACTAACGCGCTCGGGATAAGATCGAAGATTCGCTCTCCGACATCTGTTCGTCAACAAGGAAAACAGCGAAGCTAAAGATTGACTACTATCGAGAAAGCCTCTCGTTCGTTCTTAGGCCAAACCGAGTAACGCGCGCACTGTCGATTATCGTGCGTGGAGCCCAGCTTCGATAAACTCGACCGTACCTACCAGAGGCGCACGAACGCCGCTAGCAGAGAGCAGCGGTTCCTTCCTAAACACCGCAGTGCGCAAAAAACTGCTATATCATTGATGATTCGCTGACAGAATTGGACACCGATATAAAATATATATATATAGATTAATCACTGAATGAAAAGTTACTTTGACGGGATAATTGTATCTATCGTGATTCGAAGAAAAACGAGAAATTAGTACACAAAACTTGATTGGTACTTTTCATATCTACCGTTCTTTTCATACCTACGCATTCGTAATTCTAAATGTATGATTTAATAGAATTATTTAAATACAAGTGGATTCGAATCCATCAGGTTCGTTTAAATAAACTTAATAGAAGAATAAATTATATTCTTAAAATATCGTAAATTATATAGTTTAATATAAATAATACGTATATACTTTTTATAGACTCATATTTATATTAATTATTGTTGCATCTGTTCCGTAATTCGCTAGTTTTCGTTTCGTAACTTGTAATTGCCCGTTCGCTTATTTAATAAATAGATATCTTCGCAAGAAATGTCATGTATTATTAATGTACCGATTCAGTCGTAATCAATACTATGCGATCGGATCGTGATCCACAAGTTAAACGTGCTCCATGATTATATTCGGTTAGACTATTTGTGTTATTCGTCAATTCCGATTACTCTTATAATTGAATATTCGCGATGGATCGTACGATTCATCAAACATTAATCAAACGTCATTTTGCCCAACACGTCAAACGGTTTGTCCGTCAATGACGGACGAACATCGCGTGCATCCGCCTTGCGCATAAGCGTGCTTAGTGTCTACATCCCTCCTAACGGTGTTCATGCGTCTGTGGCGAAACGAACAAGTTTTCTCGAAGCCTGTTTACCGCCGAAATCTATCGTGCCTCGGAAAACTGATTCGATGGTAAGAAAGGAAGGTTCAATTCCTCAATTCCTATCGCGAGAGTCGCTGTACACGCGCGCGTAAGAGAAAAACCCTAACGACGTACGAGATTTAAAAGCTAGAATAAAAAATAACCTAGACGGTAGATTGTTGTTCAGAGCGGTAGGGCTCGGATAGAAAATCCATGCGCACAGGAGACGACGCGCGTTTATCATCGTGTTCGCGACTTTCTTGTCCCGATGGGTTCTGAGTTGAACGGACAATACGTACGGCAGAGACGGGCAAAATTCTCATCTAGATGGAAACCTTGAATAACGAATAAAAGATAAACGATTTTTTTATTCGTTACTCGTCGAATGAAAATTAGAGATCGAACTACAGAATGAAATTACATTTCACGTTGAACGAAGCAATTTGATAAATACATATCCGAGTAACGGTTTTTTTTTTATTTTGCCAGTCTCTGGTACGTTGGTTGAGTAGTCAAACGACTAACTATTAGAGCCGGCAACGTATTCGCGACAAAAGATTGCTTCAAGTGTGGTGGTGGTTGGTGGTGGTGGTGGTAAGTCTGTGAAGAGGAAAGCGTTTCGCGTCTCGCGGTAATTTTACGAATCTCGCGAACCACCGAAATACTAAATATATTTAATAAACACCGAGAAAGAGAGAGTGAGAGAGATCCGTGTAACTGTATTCGCCGGAGCGACGAACGCTTGGTTCGCGAATCGATATTTCCGTTGGAGACGCGAAGCAACGCTTACAGGGAAAGGACCTGATCTGTTTCCCTCTGATTCTAACGTGCTTCTGCAGCCCAGTAAAAATGCAAATACCTGATGAAATACGTACAACTTTAGATGTAGATGCTTGATAATTTTAGTGGTATCAGTGGGACTAGTACGTAAATTTAATTACTTGTATCTCTGCAATTATCGAGTGTCTACGGCTTACGTTTCGCTCATTCAAACGAGGATCTCTTCTGTTATCCTGGAAAAGCACGTTACGATTGGAGGGGAACTGTTTGGGTCCTTCTCTTGTTAGAGGAGCGCGCCGCGCCGTTTGAAGTAACGAGACCTCGCGAGTCGAAGATGGAGTTGCGATCACTTGCTGTAAGTAACTTCGAAACGAACGTTCTGGCGCCTGATCGGTATTCGGAAGCGAACGACAATATCCACTCCGACGACGCGAACGGAACTCGAACGTTTTTCTCGATTCGAAAAGCCAGACACAACAAATACCGAGTACACCATCTTACACGGCGATCGATTTCATATCGTGACAGAGGGATTACACGTTAACTTTACCTTTAGTTGTATCGAATGATTAAGTAATAGATCGTGGCAACGTAACTATCTAAACTAACAATTATTATGCCTCTGTACAATGCAAAGTGATTTTTAAGTATCGTTAATTATTCTTAATCATTATCATCGTCCTCATCGTCAATCGTCGTCATCATCATCATCATCATCATCATCATCACCATTATCATCATCATATCATCATCATCATCATCACCATTATCATCATCATCATCATTGTTAATGGTACTTTCCTTCCGTTTCTCTGCCATTTCATTTTTTTTCTTTATCGTCACGGTATTTTCATCAATTTGCCACCACCACATTATCGCACTATGTTTAATATCGTTATTACAGCAACGTACGCGACGTGGCCTGTGTAGCGTGTAACTGCTTTTTACCTTTATATCATTTTTAAACATTAACCCATAATCTTTTAAATATATGTACCTCAACGTTCATATAATATAATCAACAAAACATTAACACGAACGTCGCTCGTTCCTTGCTCGAAAAGCGATTATTTAATTGATAGTTCACGAGCAACAGGCGTCGCGAATAATAAATTATTATCGTTAATATATTACTCTTTTCGACTGTGCCGACTAACTATGTAATATATATATACATGTAACGCGCGTGTATGTGTCCGTGTAATGTATCTGTATATATAGATGTGTCTATGCATGTACGCGTGCACGCGTGTATGTATGTATGTATAGTTATGTATATGTGTCTTTACGGTGCGCACGAACGCGTTATCGCGCGCGTGTTGCTCTGTATATATATATAGTGTTACATATGTATACATTTCCGTGTACATTATCGGTATTATCGGTACGACCCAGATATCATCGTCGACGATTGTGTTACCGTTAATTATTTCTCCGTAACACCTATATTATATTATTGCTGCAGCTTTATAGATACCCTCTTCCCTCCTTCTCGCGTGTTTCTTTTTTCTCTCCTCTGCGTCACAATATTATTTCCCCCCACTTCCTCCTCCAACATGTATTCCGCGCCGATGACCGATCGTTTTAAAGATACATACACATCTTCGCGAAATACTCTTCCTGACTTCGGACGAATCGTCGACGACCGACAGAACCACGCTGATTACGATACATTGCAACAAACGAAGGCGATTAGTCTATACGAATTCATGAAATGCACGAGCCGCCATCGTCGTTCTCGTCGAACCGCTCGCTAGACAATTCGGGGGTACGCGATAGCGGACGAAACGGCAGCGAACTGATCCAATCCGTATTGTACGGTGTTGTACTGTACCATAATGTTCTCAACTTTTCAACTATATTGCACAGAGCTGCACTGTGACGTACTACGCTATGTTTCACTGTACTATATCAGTGCTTCTTAACCTGTAAGTAGAGGGCCCAAAAATGTTGTAGCTTCAGGCTTAAAAAAAAAACAAAAATTTGTGTAAATGTAAATTACTACATTTAGATTAAATTGTAATTTTTTGCTACTTTATGTTACGTACTTTAACACGTTGACTGGCAAACGAATATTCTTGAAAATTTCTGCTAAGATTAAATATTATTTAGACTATCAGAGTCTAGGCAATGAAATATTTATCGTGGTATTTAGTTTTGTAACCACATCAAAACTCGTGAATTTCATTTAGATTCATCTCCCGTGACGTCTTTTAGAATTAATCTTTCTAGTTCTCGAGTGAGAAACACTGTCACCCATATATTGGGTGACATGGCGATCAACGTGTTAACATATAACAAATATTGTGGTTCTTTTTCAAGTGATGTATCATCATCCTTCGGTATCTTCAAATTTTTGTCAAAACAATTTGTTACAAAGAGCTACCAATTAAGTGAAGGGGGCTATACCACGAATAGGTTGAGAAGCACCGTGCCATGTAGTAAAATGAACAAAACTGTCGTGGCTTGTTCGCAACCGTTCATGCCATGCAAATTATATAAACATAATGAACCAATGAATCATACGTTCAGTTTTAAGTTAGGTTTCGTTAAAAAGCAGCGAGATCAGAGCAACGTTCTGGTCCTCGCTGCCATATTGTCGCGTTCAAGTTCGTCGAAAGAAAATATAGTCTGTTGCTGCATGGAACTCGACGCAGATCGATTAGCGTCCACGAAGTGGAACGAAGCGTTTGCGTCGATCGGTCGATCGAACCCGATACCTAATGGCGTTTCCTGCAACGCAAAGTTGAGGACATTCCGTCGATCTCTCGATTCGATAAAGCAGCGTCGGCTAATCAAAGACACACCGTCGAAAGCGAGATTCAAGCTACTTACGTATACGTATGCAATAAAACAAAAATTATCCTAAGATCGCAACTAACTTGGAAATTCTTTCTTTGCAATTCTGTGATGCGATTACGCGACGCTCCGTAGACGTTTCCGTGTATAAAGAAAATGGTTTTTCTCGACGCATCGTTAAACCACTCTACCGGCGCTGTTTGCGGTCGACTGGGTTCGTTGACACCATCTAGACCGATACATTGTAACAAGACTCTACTTGATAGCAGCTGACACTTTTTGTGGTTGTGTTTTCATTCGCGCGCTATGTTACGTCCTTGGACTGAGACGTGTCAACGACATTCGACGAAACCATTACCAAGGTATAATGCTTGGTAATTTTCCCAAGATGAATATTCATGTGTAGTCACGAATCATTGAAACCCAAACGAATAGTACTACTTACGATTCACCGTTGTTTCGTTGTAGAGAGGTCTAGCGTGGAAGATGATACGCTTCGAATAATCTGATATGTTTGCTAGTGACTGTGTGCAATACGTTGAAAAAAAAAAAAAAAACTTGATTACACTCTCAGAGACGAAAACCTGTAGCTTCTGCGAGAACACGAAGGCCGCCATCTTTGATCAAAGACGAGACGCGCCACCTAAGTGACGATCGAAGTACTACTACATTCCACGAAGCCGTGGACTGTACCGAACGAAATGCCATCCTTGATTATAATTACTAAACAATCAATAACCGTGATAAATGCTTAATAAATAATCGAACAAAACTAACAGCCAATAAATAGTCAGATAAGGTTAACTCTGAAAAACGACACATCAACTTACGATTCCACGAGTAATTGCGCAGCGTTTGCGACAAGCACAGTCAGATACTTTCCAACCAGCTGCAGGTCGATGAAAGCGATCAATTATTTCTCAAGCGCGCACGAGAATCAGCGAAGAACCGATTTCCAAGCTCGTTGTAAAATCACAGTGAAAAGATTGCACTTGGGTGGGTTAGTCAGAGTTTGACGCAGCTACCAGAGCTAGATCCGACGCGACGAACGAGAGAATCGCTCGGTAGCCCCGCGTTACAGAGAAATTCCATTGGGTTTCAGACTTGGCTAGGAACGGGATACGTTGATACACGTTACGTTCGCGATTATCGATGGCCAGCTATATGTTATTCACGATGGGACGCAGGCAGTTGCTTCGAATACTGTTTCTTTTCATCTCGTAGGCCGGACAGCCCTGGTACGCGTGATTCGCGGACTCGGATTCGTTTCGTGCGACCTTTTCGCGTTATTCTCTCGACCGAGAACATAACAGCGTCGTTCACTCGAGGGAATAACGCCTTAGACTGATCCAACCAGCGGACGCGTGATACCACTCTCCCCTCCTCCTCCCCTTTGCGACGTATAAACACGAGTTTTTCCGATCGCGGTTTGCCCATCCTCGCGTGTTTTCGTCGCTTCTAGCGGAATCTCTCGATGATCCGGAAACAAGTGGAAATCTGTCTAATGTTTATAATGGGGCAAAGGGAGGGGGGGGGGGGGGGGGTAGGGGTGTTAATATTTCGAGATAATTATTATACCTAGTTTACGCCGTGCATTCGATACACTTACTTAGTACTCGATGCGTACCAAACACTCGGTGTATCAAGTTGATACAATACCGTAAAAAAACCTTGATATAAGTTCGTTATGGCCTTACGTGACGAAAAAGACGGACTAATCCTTCTGTTTAGTTGGGGATAAACAATCATCTACCACAAAAGTAGTATAATTAAACTAAACGAATTAAACTAAACTTGAGTTAGTAATTCTTATGTCTGTAAATTAGAACTTTCGAGAAACTAATACGCATTTTCCTTGTACACATTTCCACGCGTGTTTTAGATGTCAGGCATATGACACGTCCTCCATCCTTACATTTGGTACCAGCTTGATACAGTAGGAGTAGTTTCGGTGTTGTCGGTCATCGCGTGCTACCTCGGGCGTATCAAAAATACGGTGTAAACTAGGATAAGAGATATATCGCGAAGGATAGCAAGACCGCGAATCGGATCGACGATGTACGGTGGGATATTACGTCTCGGTGAAAAAGGTGGCGACGCTCGCGGAACGGAACGAGACTGGCCAACGAAACTGTCCGTGAAACGGTGTTCGTTGGAAGCCGAACGAAACGTAACCGGGATTATAGCGATCTCGTCGATGCCGGCACAGCGACAGCGACAGAGGACGATCGTGCAAACAACGACAGCGGCAGCAGGCGACGGCGTTTCTTCGTCCTCCGAGCTGGTCTCGTTGTTCTGGCTGTGTTCCCCCGGTGCTTGCGTAGGCGGAATGCGAGGAGCAGGAGGACGAGTTCAACGACGATCGGCGGGACGAGGTACGTCGAGCGTCGACGGGATGCTCGTCGACGACGCCGCGGCCGAGATCGTAGCCGTAACCGTGGATGACTGCTGCGACCGGATCGTCGATGCAGCCAATGTCGACCACGCCGACGACGGCGATTGTTCGACTTTGAAACGGCGAGATTTCTTACGTTTCGGGCCGACTTGCCTGGATACAGTTGCTGCCGACGGCTCGCATTCGCGTACACGACGGCGACGCTTTTGGACTGTTCTGAAAACACAACGGCATGCATCATTTGCGCGAAATTGCCACCGGTTGCCCATCCCCGTGTTAAACGCTAAATGGATACCTGATTTCGGCGTTCACAGTCCAAAGTATCCAGCGACGCTGGTGGCCAGAATGACGACGAGTATAGCGACGCAGATCATGATCATGATCTTCTTCTGCACTCGGCATCAACGGATCGGCAAAAATACAATTATGGATTACAAACGAAGTACGTAACGCGATGGCGTACGGTCCTACCGTTCGCGGTTATCCGCTACGGTTATCATCAGTCTGCTACGCTACGAGCCACGTTGCGTCGTTTGCGTACGCGTTCATCTTCCCTTCGCGTACCTTTTTTCGGTCCTTCTCGAATCGCAGCTAGTGCCTCTCTGCGTGTGTGCGCGCGCGCCTGCCAATCTCTGTCCATATCTTCGAATCGTTGGATCATCGATTCATCGTACCATTAACCGATTCGAACGGAACGTTCGCGACAGCCAATCGACTCCTCGAGTCGTTTACTCTATCACTCTAAACTGCGCTCTCAACAAGGAATCAAAACGGTTCGCAACATGACCGTTCGTAATTTTAAATATTATTACCTGTTCTATACAAATGCAATTATTTACATAATACACGCCGACGAGCGAGATTGCGATCGCTCGCGACGGAAATACAACAAATATACGCTTCGGGCATCGCGAGGCAATTACTCGGAATCATGGCGACACATCGGTTTCGTATTGATTCGTGTATGCCGGTCGCCCTTCGAGTCGACTATGGTAATATACCTGCGTAAAGCTGCTCGAGATCCATATCTACTTCCGTGTCAATATTATCTTTAATTTTAGATCGCCTGCAGTTGGCGTACACACGCTTATTCTGTATGCCTATAAGCGCGCAATGCAGCACGACGAAAACTGGAGAATTTCCCCGATCGGTTGGCAACGTGTTAAGAATCCCTCTGTACAAATCATACGAGTCTGTGTCTCGTCCAGATCGTTAGGAATTTTCCAATACGTCTAGTCGAGAGATCTCGAGCAGCTCTAACACCACAGTTACGTATACACTCTTTCGACGCGGGTACTCGTGTGCGAACGTATTATAAATTCTCGCGGTAATTCCATGTTAAGAACTTGGAAACGGATATGAAAACAAAGGACAGCGAAAAGTCGCTCGAGCACGTGCCGGGTCAACGATCAACGGAGACAGTGATGCAGTTTGTCGATAAAAACGGAACTCGATTGGGACGGGTATTCCCCGTGCGGAACTAGACACTCCTTTCTCGTCATGTACTTCCACCTTTCTTCATTTAACTCCTCCGTCACCGTCCTCCACAACTCGTTTGTCTTCTATTCTTTGGCGCTACTCGGGATCGATCGAATACGATCGCAGAAAATCCGTCCACGGAGTTTGTTCGCGAGGGAAAACCCGTGTTCACGTATTCCTTGGCTCGTCTCTCGTGATCGCCTCTCGTGCACTATTCCCTGAAATGCTCTCGTATTCGACCCTCGATCTTCTTACAACGCGTACACCAGAATGATTATGAAAATGATGAACACTAGTGTCAGGCAAATTACGATGAACATCAATTTCTGCGAACAAAGTACAATATTGCGATCACTCGGAGGAACGCGCGATCTCGCGCTCTGGAATTGGTACACGTGCGTGGCTGCGACCAAGTAAAAGGATCTCGTAGAAAGAGACTCGAACTTCGTGGTAGACCATGATGTTCTCGTTGGCATGGTTGGATGTTACCCATCGAAGTTTGTACGAACCACTCACACCGGTACCAGAACCATTGCCAGCGCTGGCACTGGTAACACAAGTTGAAAGATCGTGATCGGCAAGGTACTTGGCGAATCGACCGCGGTCTTTGCTCTCGTCTGTCTTGATTTTCGAGACTACGCGTTGGCCATCGGAGATGGACAGAATTTTCTTTGAATTCATCATCTTCTACCCGTGTCGATTAAATTATTTGCTGGACCTGTGAATGCGGGTTCTATGCATTTGTAGCGTTCGTCAAGCGTGACGTTTACCGACAGAATACTACGAAAGAGCTCTCCAATCGATAAAGTGCTCTGTCGGTAATGTAAAGAAATCTCCGCTACATGACCGACAGAGTACTCCATCTTACCGACCTCCTTCAAAACTATTCAGTCGATACTGCGGAGTACTCTAGCATCGCAGTCTTTTCAAATAACAAATGAAAAAATTTGAATGCTACCTTTCTGCGTTTATTGTTTATCCAGAAAATAATTTTACTCGTCTCGAGCTTAACTAACGAGCTAACGAGAGAAACGACACGACTGGTCGGTCGGTAGTCACACAAGAGTCTGGTCAATAGTCACACAAGATGAACCAATGTACGCCTGGTGCATTCGACGTGCAAACTGGCCGCGTTAGTAGAACAAATTAGTTTCTATTAATGAGTTATTGTGTTAACGAACAAGTTGCTTCGGAGATAGAGGTTAGAAGTCGAGAAAAACTGGTGCCCGAGAGGAGGATAGCGAAAACCGGTGCTGCTAGCTGGTTGACTATGCTGAAGTGGATGCGTGGTCGAGTATTTCCTGCTAATAGATGTATTGCGGGGAGAAGGAAAGATCAGTCCTGGAAGGAATTCCTTCTAAAATTGGCCTAAACTTTACAATCAGTCTTCGAGAGACCTGCAACTAAGCATTACTCGAGGATCTTTATCCTCCTGCATCCTACTCACCGGAGATTGGCAACATTTTATTTAGACGACAGACAACGTACAGCAACATTTATTATATATTTCAAATTCTATTTTCTATCCAGTCAGTAAAGGATACAAGGTAGCTTACCTTCTATTTGTTATTCAGACGTGTTATCTGGGCGAGAAGTTTGCCCATCTCTGTTACTCTACAGGACTGATCTTTTTCTCTTCGTACAGTACCAAGACGCGTCTAACTCTTCTTTCCGCTTCGAACTATCCTCCTCCCTTCCTTTTATCCAGAGATCGGCAAAATTTTCTTCGAATAACAGGCGACGAATGAAACCAACGAGTAGCGATTTATTCGTGACGTTTATTCGAACGAACAGTGAAACTTTCATTCGTTCATTGTGAAATATCTCGTTCTATAATATAGATTCTAGCCTCTAATCGACGAGTAACGAATAAAAGATTGTTCCTTTATTTTTTTTTTTTATTCGTTATACGAGATTATCGTATGGGTAAAAATTTTGCCCGTCTCTGTTTCTATCGTAATTCTATCCCTTTCCCTCAACGAGTCGGTCGCAAACGTTTTTTCTACCACGTGTCCCACGAAAAGATGAACATTCCCCCACTTCTTTCATACGTAATGCACGGCTCTTTAGCTACCAGTTGGAACGCAAGCTATTATGATGGAGATTAATATCACGGCCAATATTAAGACGCAGATTATGATGAAGTACAATTTCTGTGGACAGAAAAAGAAAGATACGATTCGCATCAGACGACCGCCAGAAAATAAAACGACGGACAAACGAAACACGGTCGAATCGTACAAAGCGTAGAAAATCATCAAGAGGAAACAGAAAAATCGGATGCTTCGTCTTCGTGATGCGGCGAACAGCGAAAGGCATATCAATTTCTCGCACATTAGAGAACAACCAGACGTAGACCGAAGGATAAACAGATAGATGAACAAACAGAAAGCAATGAGAGAAAAGACGAGAGAGAAAGTGAAGCTAACGAAATGTTTCTACTGCAACTCCTCGATAAAAGTCGCGAACTTCGGTTGGATTGGATCAGGTGGATCGACGACGTTTTCCCAATGAAAACGAGTCCAAACACGATACCATTCGCACTAGAATGAATCTTGTTTAACAAGGTCGATAATTCCCTGTTTAAGAGACAACGAAGGATGTCGAAGAGGCATGGCTCTTAATAATTATTGTATTACACACCACATGTGATCGTGTTTGAAATCCTGAAAGTTGAATAAAAAATATAAAAGTTTCTATTCTCAATAGCGTGCGAAATCTGTTCCCGTTTATGTATCGTACCGCATTTACTTGATGCATTGAGAAAAACGTAATGGCGACGATTCCGAAACATTTATCAAGATAGAAATCAGGACTTTTAAAGAGGAGTTACGGTCTACGATTAAATGCGACGGGTATGTTACAACTTAAAGGGTCTTCCTCCTATACAGATTTGAAAATATCAATCAATACAATACTATGGGACAAGGAAAAAAGAGAAAATAAGAAACCGTAAAAAATTAGCGGTATACATAAAAATTAATAATTGGGTTAATATGACAGAAAAATAAGGATAAAATTCGTAGCAAAATATTTATTGCAAAGCATTATGAAATTGTAGATTTCTATGAATTGAAAATTCTCTCTGAATGTCAATTATTATTAATATTATAGGTAAAGCAAGCAAGCAAATTCTTCTCAACGGTAAGCCTTTGTAACTGTGAACGATACTAATTGACGTATTCGAGTTAATCCATGGTTAGGAAGTAAAATAGTAAAGAATAAAATAAAAGGAAAAATATATAACTGACAGTGTCTTTATTACCTACATAAAAAATGAATTAAAAAGAGAAGGTATCATTCGTTAGACCGGCTAGTGAAAATAAAAATTCGACGGGAAAGTGATTAAGAGAATTCCGTGCAAAACCAAACGGTCGATTACGACAGAAACAATTAGTACTGAGCGATAGAATGCCCGTGCAAAATTAAACACAACTCATGTTTCAAGCCATTAAGTATTCATTATTAATAATGAAATTAAATCGTTGTGCCTTCAATCTCGTTCTAGAACTCTTCTTCAGTAAATACATTCTAATGAGATTTTCGAGATTAAATTTTTATAACAGCATTTTAGCTACGTCTCGTCTCTCTACATTTTCTACTTTATTTTCTGCACGTTTACTTTGCGAAGAACTTGTGCGATAGATGTAAAATAACTAAATGAATATAAATTGACGGAACATCGACTCTAGAGGTAGAAAGTAAGAGAGTAGATGTAATACTAACACACATATTTCACTAGTATTTTTTATAAAATTTATTTATTAAAATTTGATATTCATAAAATAAAAATTCGGTTCCATTACCTACGCTATTTGCACGCAATTTTATAAAAACGATCTACTTACATAGAATGCGTTTACTAAAGAAAATTAACAACGAGATTAAAAGTGTTATGAAGACAAGAATTAATAATAAATGTTTAATGGTTAGAAACACGAGTTGACAAAAAAGATTAGTTCGATAGCTAGTGTATCGGATGCAAGGGACTAGGATAAAGGAGGCATCGTCACAGGCAGAAGAAACGATACGTTGCGAAGCAAACTGGATACGTATCGTCAGGGTTGTTTTTACGCTGCAGTATCTAATCGGAATCCTTTGCTCCTATCCCCTAGTTTTCACTACAAAGTTAATAACTGTCAGTGATCACCGCTGGATTATTAACAATCACTGTTTCCTTTGGATTCGGTTCCCTACATACTATTGGTATACTTTTCCCTGCTTGTAAGCGAACAATCGTGGTAAATAAAATGCAAAAACTAAATGAACATCAATAAACGTAAACCAGATGTCAAAACATACACTATTCCAGATAATACTTGTATCGTTGCATGGAACCAGTTTTAACTTATACCATTATGTAGGAGCAATGTTAAAAATTAAAATGATAATACTTGTAGCGTACTTAAAAATATAGGAAAATGTTCGGAATGCACAATTAATCTTGCCAAAATAACAGCAAAACCAGATGGCAAAATTGTTTTTGGTTGAGAAAATAAAAAAGAGAAAGCCAAAACTCTCGGTTGATTTTCGACTATCACGGTCCTTTGATATACACACACAGTACTGTTTGTGGTGATTTCGCTTTCCGATGAATAATTAGGTCGATAAGTCGTTTTCCAGATAGAGATTCGGATGAAAAAACAACAAGACTAATCCAGCGGCGATCAAACGTTAACGGTCCGATTCGTTTACCTTCACGAGCTTCGCTCCGATACTCCTCAGCCTTGATCAGCTCGCCTCGGGCCTGGCCCACCTGGTCGCCGGTCTGATCGACGAAGTGCTCAATGACGGTTCCCGAACTCACCCTGCCGTGCCAAAGGATACGGGGTCGAAGGAAACGAATGGGAGAAAGAGTTTGGAACCGAAGACCAAAAGGAATGAGGAGAAAGAGAACGAGGCAGAGGAGACGCATTGGTAGCGATGGGACTGATACGATTACTTACAACTGATGTCCAAGCAATTCGACACTCGAGTACTTCACAGGAAACGCGTCGAAAGGTAGCAAAATATTTAGGTATAGCTCAACAAGTTGACCTCGTCTTACCTACATCGAGATTTTTTTTATATTCTCTTTATCCTGGCTTCGAGAAAAGCTTCTCGTTCTATTTATGTTATGTTGGTTAGGTTGGTTACCTTTGCTATACGATTGCTTACTACTAATCAGACTTTGTTTCCCATTGATCTATTACACCATTAATGCCAATTCGATATTATTGATATTAAGACATTCGTTATGAATATATCCATATAAATAAGTATCTGTAACAAGTACGTATATGTACATATAAATACAGTTTAGTACATAGATTATCTGCGTATATTTACACATACATATAGTACATGCACGTATATCTATAAGCATTTATCATATACATTCACGTATCATGACCATTTATGTACAACATCTTTCTCAAGCACCATTACTTTTCTCCTATAAATAATACTAATAATCCATACAAATAACGAACAGTTAGTATACTGTATTAACGATACAAATTCTGTGATACCCATATGCATCAAGAACGAAGCGATGGACCACGAGGACGTGAAGTGATTAAGAAGAATTTCATATGGAGTGTCTGTGGTTCTTATTTAAAATGCATACTCGTTAAAACTAATAGAACGTGGAATATTTTTACGAGAATCGCTTGGAACTCTGCCAATGTGAAATATCTCTAGGGAATCTTCTGCTCAACCGAGGTAGAACCGAGGTAGTTCGTTCCCATTCCCTTCACTCGACCCACGACGCTCAGACCACTCCTTTAGGGACCCTATTAAACTTGTTGAGCTATACTTCCTTATTAATTCTTGATACCGAAACTTTTGCAATGAATACTCGATCGATACCAATTCCGTATAATATCCAGCAGACATCGACGCTATTCTGAATGA